AAATACACAGTCAATTTACTTTACAGTATATTCTGTGAAGCGCTTTGAGACATCTCATCAATGTGTTAAGGCACTGTATCAAATGCCAGGATTATTATTATTATAAATTTGTCATTCTAGAATCGTGAAAAGCGCTATATCAAATGCAAGGATTATGATTATTATTATTTTCATATCACGTGGGTCGTTGCTGTGTGCAAATTGGCTGCTGTGTCTGATTATAAGTAAACAGTCACTACACTCGCCAAGAATTACCTGTGAAGCGCTTTGAGCTGGTTCGGTGTTGACATTACAGTACATTAAATACAAAAATGATTATGATATTATTGTTTTTATTTGTGACTTAGTGGATACGTGCAATGCACATTGAGTCGTAAATATTGTATTTGAACGAGCGCACAACCTTCTGACTCAGAGGTGAGAATGCTAACCAACTCAACCAGCCTGACAGCGAAATGACTTGACTTCCATAAACGTGTCCAGTTATTTCCCCACTGATTTCAGAAAGAATTGTGGTCATGTTTCACGGCTTTAAAATTCATGGGAAAATGTTCAATTTCCTGTATTACTTTTACCTTAAGTAATTGTTCAGGGAAAGAAAAATGAAGTTGTCTTATATTTCATAGTTCGATTATATCTATAAATCACTGCCTCTTTGAAACCTCCAAAGACCATTTGAACAGGGAGAGAGATGCCTGGAACTTGTGCTCTCAACCAGAATAAGTCTCTGACATGGCTCCTCTCCTAATGTTCTGGCCAAATGTTAAATATTATAATTCCGTTGGGACGCACTAACCTCCACTTGTGCTTCTAATGTGCGGAGTTAGCCTTGAGAATCACAATCATCTCGGGCTGAAATAAATGTCTTCCAAGTGTTATAGAACGAGGACTTCTGTCCGATAGCCAGATTCCTTTGGTTGACATTTGACAGGGAAGGTGGGGGTCAATTTTCTGGCCTCTCATAGCTTGCGTTTGATGCAATAAGTATTACATCGAACAGTTTTAAATTTAAGCTTTAAATTAAGCTTTAAATTTCAGCTCAGATTTGTATCGGAAATTAATTTTTTTTGGGGGGTGGGGGGCGGGGGGGGGGTCAGGCGGGTGTCTGATCCACGCAGAAAACCATCACCGTTGCTTAAAAGTCTCCGAACCAAGCTCAGAATTCCACATATCCCATCTACACATGGAAATCCCAGAGACAGATTGTTGGAATGGAGTGCTCTCTCTCTCTCTCTCTCTCTCTCCCTGGAGGGACGTATCCTGTTTACCTAATTCCAGAAAGTATTAGGCGCAGGTTAGGAAGCGCCAAGGCTTGAGGGGGAGCCCAGAGTGTGCGTTGGGGTAACTGCTGGAGTCTGCATTGAAATTGATAGAAAATCAACTGAGAATTTTGTTCAAAAAAAATGTAGTTTCACGTTGTTTAGGAATAATTTGACACGCCGAAATGTTTTGGTGGGCTCGATTGATAAACTTGCAGCGATGTAGATATCGGTCGAAAAAGCCATTGCAACTAACTCAGGAGAGTGCTTTGTTTGTCTTGTCTGATGGTGAAGTTGGCCATGTTTAATCTCAGACGTTGGCCTTCATCACTCTCTGTGCTCAGATGCAGAAGACTAGTTAACTCAGTCACTCTTTCCAGCCTGCAGCTGCTTGTTCGCTCGTTGCTAAAATATCAGCGTCCTGAAATGATGCCAAGACTCTCTGACTCTCTGTCTGTGCTCTGTCCTCTCTCGCTGAGGTAGTCTTGAGAATGCACAGTCATCCTGGGCTGAAGTAAATAATAATAATAATAATAATCCTTACATTTAATATAGCATCTTACCCCGTCGTTGAGACGACTCAAAGAATATACTGCAAAGTGGATTGACTGTGCATTTTGTGGGCGAAACGTGGCAGTTAATTGCGCACAGCAGCGTCCCCACAAAACAGTCGTGGATTGAGCGTGCAAATTATTATTTAAAAAATATATATATATATTTGGGTTTTAAAGGGATTATTACACCTGGAAAAGTGATCTGCCAATCTACTAACAGCCGGGTTCCTACTTACTTCTAGGTAAACAGAGTTGTGTGGAGTAAAGAAACTTGCCCAACCTTTCGCCCTGCCGGGAATCAAATGCTTGCGAGACAAATGCTCTAACCGCTGAGCTGCAGGACTCCACAAATGTCTCCCAAGTGTTATTGTGGAGTCCTGTGGCTCAGTGGTTAGAGCACTCGCTTTGCAAGCGAGAGACCTGAGTTCAATTCCAGACAGGGCGAAACCTTGGGCAAGTTTCCTTACTCCACACAGAGCCTAATAATAATCCCTCCAAAACCAAAAACAATAATAAATTGGTCATTTTCAATCTACGACTGTTTGTGGGACATTGCTGTGCGCAATTGGCTGCCGCGTTTGCCCACAAATATACAGTCAATTCACTTTACAGTGTGTTCTGTGAAGCGCTTTGGGACGTCCTCCTGACGTGAAAAGCGCTATATCAAATGCAAGGATTATTATTATTATTATATTATTGTATGGAACGAGGGTTTCCGTTGGCCAGATTCCTTTGGGTGACATTTGACAAAGGCAATATTAAGGGATGACGGGGTAAATTTCTGGCCTCTCATACCGTGTGTTCAGTGCAATAAGTATGATGTTGAATACAAATAAAACAGTCACATCCTTAAATATTTTTTACACTGTAAATTGCACTGCAAAAGAAAACGGATCTGCATTGCAGGGGCTTAAAAAAATGTTCTTTCCCCTCTCTCTCTGTCTCGGGTCGCAGAGCATAAGTCAGATTCAACCCTGAATGTTTTCTTGCCTTTTTCATACATGTATATATGCATATATATATATATATATATAAAAAAGCTGAAAATCAATCATTTTTCGCAGCCGTTTAAGCCTTGCTGCACTCGTCTGTCTGTGCGTCATTCAGGAATTGTGTTACTCACTGGGGCTGTGGCTTCCAATCAGAAGCGACATCCTCACAGCACAATGATGTAAATCATGATGCCCTCCAGTGGTTTCCATGGCAACGCACCGTTAAAACTTTTCGGCGTTTTTTTTTTGTGTGCCGGCTAGAAACGCAGCCAGAGAAATATCTGAAATGCATCCCGTTTTTGTGATGTTGCGCTTGGATATGAAATCACTATTTAATTTCCCCCGATGTGCGTTGAGCCCGTAACGGTTGCCTTCTTGTTCTGCACAGACGTCAACACTGGAATTGAAGAAATAATAATCACCCTTGCTTTTGAGACGGCGCCTTTCACGTTGAGGGGACGTCTCAAGGCTCTGACACGCTACCCTGCGTGGAGGGCGCTATATAAGTGCAAGTTGTTGTTATAATAATAATAATAATAATAATCCTTGCATTTGATATAGCGCTTTTCACGTTGGGAGGACGTCCCAAAGCGCTTCACAGAACACACTGTAAAATGAATTGACTGTATGTTTGTGGGCGAACGCGGCAGCCAATTGCGCACAGCAATGTCCCACAAACAGTCGTAGATTGAAAATGACCAATTTATTATTGTTTTTGTTTTGGAGGGATTATTATTAGGCTCTGTGTGGAGTAAGGAAACTTGCCCAAGGTTTCGCCCTCTGCCTGGAATTGAACTCAGGTCTCTCACTTGCAAAGTGAGTGCTCTAACCACTGAGCTACAGGACTCCACAAGACTGTCAGTTCAATGTCCTGTCAGGGGGCTTGAACCCACACGTGTACCAGTGTACCAGCCTGGCTCAGTGGTAGCGCTCTCACCTCTGAGTCAGAAGGTTGTGGGTTCTGAGCTGATGCTCCAATGCAGCGCTGGGGGTGTATTGCATTGATGGAGATGCCATCCTTCAGATTAGATCTTAAACTGAGGTCCCGTCTGGCTGTTCAGGTGGACGCTAAAGATCCCGGGGCACTATTTGAAAGGAGAAGGAAGTTTCTCTCTCCCGGTATCCTGGCCAACAATCCCCCAAATAAAATTGTTCACTCACTCCATGGTTGTTTGTGGGGCATTGCTGTGCCAAATTGTCTGCCTATTTCGCCCACAAATACAGTCACTCCACTTCACAGTTTAATTCTGTGAAGCGCTTTGAGACCTCCTCCCAACATGAAAGGCACAGTGCCAAATGCAAGGATTATTATTATTAATGGAGACAAATTTTGCTAGGTTTGATAATGTTCGAGGTGAGAAAAATGTGAAGTAATTAATTAAGGTCTATCACTCAAGAAGATTATTGGCGTGTTATAGTCGTAATATGCTTTATTTTTCTTATGACAATCTAATAAAACCTATATAATTTATATTGCAATGTTAACAAAACAGAAATGAAATGAGTCAATTCTAAGGTGGATTATTTCGAGTTATTTTTAATGTTACTTTTTTTTAATGTTCCTTTTGTTTGCTTCAGCGCCTTGGGACGTCCTCTTGACATGAAATGCCTTGTGTAAAATGTAATTTTGTTGTTGTTTGTCTGAAATAAGTTAAGTTAATCACTTTGCTGAATGAGGTGACACTAAATTCTGCAAAATACCAGAATAATATTCGTGTCATCTCTTTGTTCACTTTTGTTTGTGTTTTTGTTGAACTTTTTCCACAATAGTGGATTAACGAGAAAACAAACTAAATCGACAGTCACTCTACTTTACAGTATATTCTGCGAAGCGCTTTGAGACATCACAATGATGTGATAAGTCACTATATCAAATGCAAGGATTATTATTATTATTATCATTAAAACGCAGTTGGTCGTGCACCAAAAATATGAATAATTTAATAATAATAATCCTTGCATTAGATGTCGTGCCTTATCACGTCTTCGAGACATCTCAAAGCACTTCAATTTGAAAGGGCAGTATGGATATTAGCTTAAACAAAAGCATCCGTCATACCAGGTTTTAGCAAATTCCAAACGACTTCAAATTGAGGACGGACATTCAGTCTTTGTAAGATTAACGATGTGTTTGATGCTCTTTGCTGCACTACGGTTCCTGTAACAAGTTACTTACATCTCCCATTTTCTTTCAGTCTTCAGGTACCAGTGTTACTGTTGACATCGCTGTGATGGGAGAAGCCCACGGACTGATTACAGACCTTCTGGCTGACCCTACCCTGCCTCCCAATGTCAGTACCTCCTTAAGGGCTGTCAGCAATCTGCTCAGCACTCAACTGACCTTCCAGCCTGTTCACAAGCCCAGGGTAAACCCATTAGTGTCCTTCAGTGAGTCTTACACTTGCTCTGACTCGGAGGAATGCCCGGAAAAGGGAGAGAAGCTTGCCATCCCAAAGGTAGGTTCAGAACTTTCACGTGTATTTTTCATTACAGCTTTCATAAAAGTCCTATCGTTGAAACGTTGGGCAAGTTTCTTTGCTCCACACGCCTCTGTTTACTTCGCAGTAAGTAGGAACCCGGTTGATTGGCGGATCACTTTACCGGGGGTAATAATCCCTTCAAAAAAAAATTAGTCGCTCAATCCACGACTGTTTGTGGGACACATTTCGCCCACAAAATATACAGTCACTCCACTTTACAGTATATTCTACAAAGCGCTTTGAGACGTCTCGAAAACATGATAAGGCGCCGTATCGAACGCAAGGCTTATTATTATGATATTATTAGGATTTAACACAGACGTTTACATTTGTTTCTTCCCTTCAGCGGCTGAGGAAGAGCCTGCCCCCCGGCCTCCTACGGAGGATATCCTCCACATGGACAACAACAACTTCGGCCACTGGTTTACCCACCCTGGAGCCTGGCCCGGTCAGGCGAGACCGGAGTGCGAGCATCAAACTCACGTGTGAGACACCGCTGTGCAGGTGGGTAGAGAGTTCTCAACTCTCATTACTCTCGTGTTACAGTGAATTGACTGTACATTTTGTGGGTGAAACCCGGCAGCCAATTGCGCGCAGCAGCGTCCCACAAGCAGTCGTGGATTGAGTGACTAAATTCATTTTTTTGAAGGGATTATTATTCTTTAGACCACAGAAGGTTTTTCAGCCCATTTAATCTCATCCTTACAGATATTTGTTCAGGTTATTAAGGGATACCGGGCAAAGGCGGGTAATTGGATTTGAGGTACAGATCAGCCATGATCTTTTAGAATGGCAGAACGGGCTCGAGGGGCTGAATGGCCTCCTCCCGTTCCGATGTTTTCTATGAATGTTCTCTGGTACTTCAATGATGAAAAGGATCTTGTTTGAGCAACTCACCAAAGGCTGCAAGACACGGAATATGTACAAATTATACCATTGAAGGCTTCTGCTCGGAAGCATTTTTTTTCAAATAAGAAATACCTGGAAAATGTTTTTGTTTGTTTGAGGGTGGGGGAGAGGCCAGAAAACGTGTGGGGAATTACTTTTATTACAGTAATGTTACAGTATAAATTATGCAGTGATGTTGTTTGCTTCATAAACACTTCAAGAGTACAAACAAATGAAAAAGATTTGACGACCATTTTGTTTTAAGGCACTGCATTTTCTTTAACAAAAAATAAATCGCTCAAATTCTAATATATTTTTCAGGGCAGCAATATCTTGTAGGCTTGAGGGTGTATTTTAATAAAAAAAAACAGCAAGGTACTTATAAAATCTGAGAGAATGCTGGGAATATTAGAAAGCTTGTTTTTAATCCATCTGGGTCAATGAAAATGATAATATGTCTTGTTGACAGTGAAACGTTGGAAACTGCAGAACGTACAGACATTCTGTAGCGTAGAGATGTCCGAGACATATTCTGGTATTCTCAGTAATAACTTGCAATATTCCAAAGGGAATTTAATGTTTCTCTTATTAGATGAGGAATCAAATATGGAACTTTACATATTTAAATGTAAAAAAACTGAGGGAATTGTCATTTGTGTACCGTGAAGTATACTGACTGTAAACTGCTGGCAAGTACTTTATTACTTGATTTATTAAAGTGTGGCTCTTCGAGATTTTAAACACGATTATTGATGGTGGATGGCAAAGGTAATTGTTCTCTACATCCGTATTAAACAGAAGATCGTCCTGCAACAATCGCTTGTCTTCAGATGGTAGTGTTCTGTTAACATTTTAGGCAGAGATTGCTAATAGCCAAAGGATCTGCGACTGGAAGCCTTGGTAGAATCGTAGAAATTGACATGTTGGGAGATTCCAAAGTGCCTTCAATTTTAAACTTAGGTTCACAGCACAGAAGGAGACCATTTGATCCATCGAGTCCGCACAGCTTCCAAAATAAGCTGTTCTTTCAATCCTTGCCCTATCACCATGCAGCTTCAAGCCTCTAACTTTCATATACACGTCTATTTCCTCTCGAATCCCAGAAAATTTCCCCCCCCCCACCCAGAGCTGTTCAGTTCTTCCACTGCCACTCTACTGAATACTCTATCCAAGAACATAAGTAAGGTTTTGTGTGTGGGCAGTGGGTTTCTGTGAAGGTCAGCCTGAATTAAGACCCCAATTCTCTTTTGACTGGTACTTTTTGTACCGAGTTTCAACCTTAATCATTGGAACAAAACTGGACTGATCAGGGGAACAGAAGAATAGGGAAAGCATTGGATCCAGTCACGTGTGACCTCAAATTACATCACATTGTCAGAAATTTAATTATTGCATAAATCACCCTTGTGTTTTGAAGCGAAACATTTTTGGGCCTTTCTTTCATTGCTTCCTCCCATCATTTTTTTAAAAAATGACTCAAAAGTAATTTAGCGGTGTAACTTCCAATGAAAATGATTATTATTTTGATATATTTATTTTTTGAAGGGATTGTTACCCCCGTAAAGGCGATCCACCAGTCGTCTAACAACCGGATTCCTACTTACTGCTGGACAAACAGAGGCGTGTGGAGTAAGGAAACTTGCCCAAGGTTTCGCCCCAACCGGGAATCGAACCCGGGTCCTCTTGTTTGCGAGGCCAGTGCTCTAACCACTGAGCTACAGGACTCCAGATATCTTACAAATAGCCACATTCAAAGGAGAATCATTTTCGTCTTGTCCTTACAACCTGTTAACTGCAATTTTTAAAATATACAGTTCATGCATACAAACAAACACTTCTTTATGTTTAAGGCTAGTGAGGAGTGTAATTTTCTAATAAAGATGCAGTTAGATCCATGGAATTGGTTTTCACATCAAAGAGAAATTGTACTTGTGACTTGTGGAGTGTTTTAAAACTTTGAATCTATTAAATAGAAGTTTGATATCCCTTTTTCAAGTGTTATAAACAGTAGTTTTTAATACATTAGTTCTCTTCTGCAGTAGGTTAGCCGTGTGGTTATGTAGGAATGATACATTTATACGAATTCAAGTGGGAGTAATTTATCATTGGGATCTCATCTATCACAATGAAAAGGGATTGCGGTTGACAAAACCATATTTTATCGTAGGTCAGATGAATTTTCTGTCTAATGTGGGCAGACAGGCCTTGTTAAAATGCATAAAAGTGCGTTAAGTGGAACCACGGGTGTACTGAGTGGAACGTAAGCACTTTAGGCTCCGAGTTGTACTTCTAAGGAGAATCAGAAGTGGCGTGTTGTACTTTAGTGGCACAAATGAAAAAAATAAGTTCCATTGTAAAACTGTTTGCAAATGTGACTGCTGATCATTCCAGGACACTGCTGATGGCAGCACAGCCCAGCCTGGCTCATCCACAGGACCTGGAATAGCAGACTAGTCACTTCGGGCAGGGAATCCTCCCTCACTCAGCTCCTGCTAACCCTGCAGCCAAAGCCCTAACGGGAAGGGTGGTCCTTGCTGGACAAGCAGCGGGAAAGCTTGGCCATTCAGTGCTATCAATGGCAAGCTATGCGCTTCTAGCTGGTCAGACTCCAGCAGTTACCCCAATGCACACTCTGGGCTGCCCCCAAGCCTTGGCTCTGCACCTAATACTTTCCTGAATTAGTTAATCAGGAGAGAGAGAGAGAGAGAGGGCATTTCATTCCAACAATCTCTCTCTGGGATTTCCATGTGTAGTTGGGGGGCATGGAATTCTCAGCTTGGTTTGGAGACTCTTAAGCAACGGCGATGGGTGTCTGCGTGTGTCAGACACTCGACTGACCAAAGAAACCTGGTCTGTTTTGACTTGCCCAATCTGCACTGTATTAAGAGAATCAATTTATTTCAGTGCAAATATACAGTCAATTCAGTCTATTCTGTGAAGAACTTTGAAACGTCTAGAAGACGTGAAAAGCGCTGTATCAAATGCAAGGATTATTATTATTATTATTATTACTATTATTATTATTAAACCAGGTCTATCAGAACATTGATGACCTGAGTGGTAATGGGAAGATTCTTAGTGAACAACAACAACAGCAGCTTGCACCTATCGTGCCCTCCATGCAGGAGAGCGTCTCAGAGCGCTTAACAGTGGCGGAGCCTGACTCCTTCCCCCTAGCGAAGGGGGATTGAGATATTGGCTTTGATGAATACATTTCACAGCTGTACACGCTGCCATTTTATTCAGTCTCGCAAAACATAAACTTTACTGCTCTGAGCAAATCCCTTCCCAATTTACTCTTTGCACTGGAAAGTTGCGCATTGCAGATTTGTTTGACATTTTGACTGAACGCGTTGATTTTATATAAGTTCAATATGCTGCCGCGACCAGCCGTCTGAATTATTATTTGTAACCTGGCGCGAATCAATCTAGAACTTTCTAGAGCAATAATGCAGTAGTTTCTGTTTTCAGGCGTGAGGGCCCAGAATTAATTTCTGTCTTTGAGATGAAAATATTTACCCGTTTTATAGCTAAGCAGAGGTCGAAGTGTAGTGGTTTGACAGGAGACCGAATAACCAATATTAATGTTAGGAGAGTAGCTAGTAATTGCTTGTGACTTTATGTTCTGAGGTAACCTCTTCTGTGCATTATCTTGATGTGTTTTACCAGTTGAATCGCCCACTCACAATTTCTCCGAAATGCTGTGGGTGATTTAGTGTTTACTGGAGAAAGTCTGAGCCTTTGCCTTGCAAGTGACAATCCTGAAGAGATATTACAACAGCCGTTTAATGTGAATGATGTCCTTTTGCAAAATAACAGTGTTCTCATTCTACAAATCAGTTTAAAGGAATGAACAGGACAAGTTGAACCTCTAATAATTACCATGGTACTTCAGCAAGTTGCTTTTGCAGAGCTCAAATTGCAAATTACGCTTGTTATTTATGAATGGTGGTCATATAATCACTGTGCCACACACTATGTCAACCTCAGGTTGTAATTTTGTATTACCTCAGAATGTTCTGTACAAGACTGAGCGCTGATAAAGTCATGAATGATTTCTGGAAAGGGATTTGCTCAGAGCAAAGTATTATCAGAATTTATAGCACCTTGTTAGGATGCTCTGTTACAATTCATAGAGCGGGCAATAGCTCAGATCACTAACAACAACACCGGGCATTTATGTAGTGTCTCCTCATGCAGGGTAGTGTCCCAGAGCGCTTGACAGTGGTTGAGCGCGATGCCGAGCCGGGTGGGGGGGTGTTAGGTGATCCTAGGCGCAGTCAAAGAGGAGTATCTTCAGGGGCTACACAAAGGTGGGGGAAGGAGGAGGCAAGATAGAGGGAGAGTGTTCCAGAGTTTCAGGGCGTAGCGGCTGAAAGCACGGCCACCGATGGTGGAACGGAGGGCCCGAGGGACAAGCAGGAGGCCAGAGATAGTCGAAGGAACCCGAAGGGATTAGTGCTGCTGGGGGTTGATCGTGATAACAAAACTTAGTTCCACAATTGAACTCTGCACCTTCATTATCGGGCTCCACTCTTCATCTTACTGATAAACAAAGTTTTCTTCCAAAAGCGATACTCCTGAAATCTACAAGTCCCACAAAAAGTTTACATGTCGCTGATTGTCCAGCGCCTTGGGAGGTGTTTCCGACGTGAAAGGTTGTTGTTCAAAGTAAAGGCAACTCCTGTTATATCCAGTATTAAAATTGGTTCAAACAGACGAACAATTCAGAGCAAAAGAAATGAGACGGTTGTAAGAATTGGAGCCGTGGAAAAATCCACCTGCGATCGGTGTTCTCGGATGACGTGATTAAGATTGAACGCCACAGTTTATTTAAAATATTGTTGCACTCCCAGCAGATGTTGAAGCTGAGCGTGCTCACAGCTCCCTTGTCTAGAATCCAGGTGTAAATGAAAAGCCCCAGGCGTTTACTGTCAAATGTCTGGCTTTCTTTCTTTAAGTGCTTGGAGGTTACAAACCATTTCTCCTGCATCATTCCCGAGTTGTCTCCGCAACAACAACAACAAAAACAACAACAACAACAACAAGACTCCATTTATTGAGCGCCTTTCACGTCGGGAGGACGTCCCAAGGCGCTGAAACAACGACTTGGATTTATATAGAGCCCCTCACGCAGGGCAGTGTCCCAGAACACTTCACCGTGGAGGAGTACGATGACAAACATAAAGGATTTCCTTACCCAAGGTCTCGTGTTCATGGAACATAAGAACATATAAGAACACTTGCTGGACGAGAGAAGACCAAGGTCCACCCAGTTCGCCTTCCACCATCCTGGCAGCCGCGGTCACATGTCATGTCCCAAACTATATACTGTATCCATCCCCTGATATCGTTTCCTAAACTAAATCTGTCTAATTTCCTTTTGAAGGAATCATATCCTAGTGTGAATAACTGCCTTCAGATGAGAATAACACAATAGGGAAAAAAGTCTTCACTGCTGAAATGCTATCAAATTTCTTGACAATCTACAACGCCCCCTCTTTCTGCTCTGTACCTACCTGAGATATAAAAAATACAATGGACAGTGTATTAACAATCATTGTTAAAGGCTTGTCTGGAGCCTCCTGCTATAACAAAAGTTTTCCAAGTCCCTATGGAAACATCATTACAATCAGTGGAGGAGCTTGGACGAGTGCAATATGGATACAGGAACAGGATGAATTAGATGCTTGTTTGTAACAGCGAGACGGAAATGTAGTGATGATGATACTTCAATCAAAATGCCTTGCTCGGAACAAGTTTTATTTACCAACAGCAAAGAGTAGGCATCGATGACCGTTGTGAAGTCCTGCCCAGGAATCGAACCCAGGTCCTCTCGCTTGCGAGGCGAGTGCTCACCAGCTTAGCAATAAGTGGGGAAATAGCCTAAACTTTTCTAATAACAGTTAACATTTTTCTTATATTATTTATGAAAAAAATAATGTAGAGATAGATGAAAGGATTGCACTAACATTATGCATTGTGTATACTTCAATAAAGTGCTAACTGCAGTTTCACTTTTTTTATTTTATTGCCAACTTTAACCATTGGAGAAATGCAGTTGATGTTTTGCGACTGAAAGAAAAACTGATGGGTGGAAATCTTAATTAAATGGAAAGTGTTTTAATTCAAGTCGACAGAGCATGTAAAATAAGTAATATAAGCGGGAAAGTCAGATCCGATCAAGAAAACAATGACATTTGCAAGAAATATTTTTTTAAAATTATTTTATTTAGGGATATTGTTGCAAATTCAGGAAGCAGAGGGAAGAAGAAAGATGGCCAGCGTGTCACTTACAGAGGTTTTTTGTTTAAAATACGTTTTATTTGTCGTTCTAGCTGTGGGAGACCTTTCAACAAGTTAATTCATAGCGACAGTTCACTGGACAGAGGAGATCCATCAGCACATTCAATAAGCAGGACGGGTAAGTTACCTGTTCCATATACTTTAATGGAATTGTAATGTGATGTATTGACCCAGAGATATTATCTGGGAGGGTGGGGGAAGGAGGGTGATCGAAGGCGTGATCAGAGAGGAGGGTCTTGAGATGAACCTCGAAGGAGACAAGGGAGGGAGCGAGGCCAAGGGACTGTGGGATGGAGTTCCAAAGTTGGGGAGCATGAAGCTGAGCGGAGGGAGTGGACAGGTTACCATCAGGAGTCGGTAGTTATGGCTTGTTATGGCTTGCGCATCAGATCTGGGCACTTGTTTATAAAGTTTCAACCTCCAATGGCTATAACTCAAGGGGCCCATTACAGCATAAAAGAGCACACAGCGTTTGAAGATCATGAATTATTTTTTCTTCCAGATGATGGGGCACTAGCAACTTCTGACTATGACAGCACGCATGAAACAAATAACAGTGACAGCAGTGACATTGCACAGAATGAGGACGAGCAGGAATGCTGTTCAAAAGATCTGGTTCAGTCCCGCAAGAGCTCCACATGCAGAAACCATAGATCTGAGGACATGTTACATCATTTGATTCCACCAGAGGTACTTTATCAGAACACGGTTTGATGTACGCTTGATCCACATTGATGGACTGAATTGGTTTAAATCTCCCCTGAAGTCTTTAAGTGGGTCGGCAACTCTTTTGACGCCAATAAGAAAAAATAAGATAGTTACAAAAGGATTTAGTAACTCAAATAACCATTAAAAGGTAGCAAAGACCTAGATCGTGGTAAGAGATTGAAAGCTTGGCAGCAATTTGATTGCATGGTGCTGATTTCACTTCAAACCATAAAGAACAAGGCCTGAATAATTCATGATCTTTAGGAAACAGTGATGAGTCTTATAAACTCACAGATAACTATTTTGGAGTCCCGTAGTGGACTGGTTAAAGGACTCACCTCGCAAGTGGGAGGACCTGGGTTCGATTCCCAGGCAGAGCGAAACCTTAGGCAAGTTTCCTTACTTTTGGTGCCTCTGTTTACCTAGCTGTAAGTTGGAACCCGGTTGTTAGTCGATTGGTGGATGGCTTTCCAGGGGTAATAATCCCTTCAAAAAAAGAAAAAAATTGCAGTATCAACAACAACAAACAACAAATTACATTTGTTTAGCGCCTTTCACGTCGGGAGAGTGTTCCATCGATCTGCTGGAAGTTTAAAACTTTGAAAGTTTGGATGAAGCCTCAAAAATTGTGAAGACTTTGGATTGTAATCATTGACATATTCAATCACCAGTTCAGATTGATTGTAAAAATGGCATGCGCACGGAAAGATAATTGTTGAAACTGCAAGGAAATGCCAATCGCTGATCTAAGTCAAATATTTTCAAACGTGCATTTAACCATCACAAAGTTTCATGTTTTTTTTTCCAGGATAAACCAATCCTTGCCCCAGAGCCTCTTATTATGGAGGGTTTTGAGCCATTGCTTTCACAGTTGAACAATTGGAATTTTCCAATCTTTGACCTAATGGAGTTGACGGGTTCAAAATGTGGCCGGATTCTCAGTCAGGTGAGGAGTTGTCTCTCTAGACCAGAAGGTGTCTGTATTTCTGCTGGACAAAGTTGGTCGTTAAGTTTTTTTCAACTGCTACCGATACCACATTTGTTTGTGCTTAAAGATAGCTTAAAGGTTTTACTTGATAGAGATTATCAGCAGGATTCATCTTGAGCAACCGAAACCTGTCGTGAAACAACGTTTAATCGATTTCACTGTCAAACTTAAATCGATCAACAATTATTATAACTGTGGAGAATTATATTTCTTCCTGTTACATTTTTAACACTTGTACAGGAGTATGTTACCTTGCAATTTCCCAAGATAACAGCATGCTTTCATTTGATCAGTAAGGAATCAATGTGAACAATCCTGGGAGGTGGACGTTGATACCTATCAATGAGACACAGCTATAAATCCTTCATTCCGGTTTGAGAGGGAACTGGAATTTCATTTGTGAATAATTGATGGATCTCCACCTCAATGATCAATAGCAACAAAATAAATTTTAAAAAATAATTGGGTCACTCAATCCACAACTGTTTGTGGGACACTGCCGTGCGCAATGACCTACCTCGTTTTGCCCACAAAATATACAGTCAATTCACCTTACAGTATATTCTGTGAAGCACTTTGAGATGTCTCGAAGACGTGATGAGGCGCTATATCAACAACAACAACAACAGATTCCATTTATAGAGCGCCTTTCACGTCGGGAGGACGTCCCAAGGAGCTGGACAGTTGGGTCAGGACCCGAGCAGGGGGGGAAATGGTCAGGGTGAGGGGAGGGAGCGAGGAGGGGGTAGAGAGTCGAGAGGGGAGCTGAAGGCACGGTCAAAGAGAAAGGTCTTGAGACCGGCCTTGAAGGAGGAAAGGGAGGAAGCGACGAAGGCACTGGGGATAGAGTTCCAGAGCCTCGGGGCTGAGAGGCTGAAGGCCACCGATGGTAGGGCGGTTGGGGCGGGGGATGTGGAGCAGACCGGAGCCAGAGGAACAGAGGGTAAGTAGGGTACGGGAAGGTAGGTAGGGGGATAGTAGGTCAGAGAGGTAGGAGGGAGCGAGGCCGTGAATGGCCTTGTAGGTGAGGATGAGGATCTTGAATTCGAATATCAAATGCAAGGATTAGTATTATATTCTAATTATATGTTGGCCATTCAAGAAGGAGTTGAAGTTGGCCATCAGCAGGCAGCTAGCTCAGTTTGAAGAATAATAAGACTATAAATGGAGTGAAATGTATAACAAGTGTTTCTGGAGCAATGGATGAGATCCCAATCAAAATCCTAATCAAAGTTTCAAATTCATATCTGCAGACCAGAGGCTCACAATGTTGAGATATAATATGCACCAATGTGAATTGTAGTAATAATAACCCTTGCATTTGATATAGCGCCTTATCATGTCTTCACAGGATTGAATTGACTGGATATTTTATGGGGCGACCCTGAGGATAAAAAATCACAGCTATCATCTCTCACAGTTTTGACGATCCACAGAAACTCTGAGATGCAATTGATCAAAAGTTGAGACAGTTAGTGCAAGTCAATAAAAAGTTCACAACCTGAATTAAGTTTTCAACAAGCTTTGATATTTCAGCTGCAGTTAGTTCATTTGCATTTTAAATATTGTGCCGATGAACCGCATAGAGAGTTGACTTTGACACAGTCTCCGTGCCCTTCAGAACACGCTGTTCACTGATTAGCAAACAGGAGCGCGTTCAAGTTTCATTTTACAGTGTAAGCTGTAGCGTTTTCTTTCGTTAACTTTCGTTAACTTTTAAATGTTACGGTTTTGATGGGAAATTGAAAATTATTCCTGCAAAATGAATTTACTGTTTGCTGACGGGTAGAGTGGTCCTAGCTGGACAAACAGCGGGAACGCTTGCCAGACAGCAATACTTCAACCTGACATTCGGGTCTCGAATGTGAAAGAAAAAAAGGTTCTGTTCTTTCTAGTAATAAAAAAGCTCTTTAGTCTTACAAAGCATAGGAAGTTAGGCTCATTGTGAATCATGTTTACCCTTAGTGTGTGCATTCATAGAATCGCTCATTATCTGGAGTGGAATCAGTAATTTATTTAAGCAAAGAGAAAGCAAACTCTTAATTAATCACCTCCGTTTACAAATTGTTTCCACATCCAATACACCGACTGGAACCTGTGGTGTGGACGAAAGAAAAAGTGATACAAGTAGTTCTGGAGTTTTATTGCTCCAGTTAAAACAGAAGTTAATCATGGCGTTTCATTTACTCAAGATGCTCCAGATTTCTTTACACAGCATTACTGTCATTATCAAACACTTTTTGTATTACAGCCATATTTAGTGTCATTTTTTTCCCCTACAACATGTTGTTCCAAATGGCTCTACCCATTGTAGACGTATAACTGTGTTTATTTAGTTATTAATTTGTGCTTGTGATCTTGAAGATGTTGACTTAAAGTAACTGGAGCAGAAAATAAATGTAATCTCAATTTGGACCTTACTTGTGTGTATACATGCGAGCAGCTCTTTAATTTAACACTTTGCACGGACGAACTCTGCAGGTACCCTTGTGAATCTTAAACAGTGTGGTAGCATTTTCGCTTTTGTGCACGTTCATTTTGAAAGGCCGCGTGCCGGATACATCACACATTGTGCAAATTGAAAGAGAAAAAGCTGCAGTAAAAAACAAGGCAGGAAGCGTGAAGTTATCAGTTTTATCCACTGTATTTAGTGGTGTCATTTAGTGGGCGTATATTTTCAAGTATATAGTGAGTGTAAGTTTGCTTGTACCTATAGTTCTATCCAGGATATCAGCCCAAGTGGTTCAGGTTTGCACCAGAGGGAAAGTAAATAGTAGTCAATATAAGGCCTGCACCCTCCATAAAATTAATTTTATAATAGGACGATCTTTCTTAACCGGGTTTTTTAATTACGTAACTCTGTAATGCTGACTCGCCGAAACATTAACCGGGACTCGGATTTTACAACCAATTCCTATAGAAAAAAACACATACAATTGTCTCCTTTGTGATGTCCTGTTACGTATATACCTCTGAAAGCGCATCAAAAAGTGGGGAAAGTTAACTCTTTAAATAAATCCCCCTTTTTTAAAAAAAAATCCAGAAGCTATTCAGTGTCATGTTATTTTGCAAATGGATCATTTTAAGCTAATAGAACGTGGTCGAGTTTTGTTCCGGGATGAATGGATTGTGCCTGCCCTCGTGACCGGGAGCTGTGCATCTGGTAAATGCAGATGTGTTGGAAGAAACAGAAGGTGTTTGTGTGATGATGAGCCGTGTCTGACTGTGGGGGAAAGCTATACCATCAGCTCCGTGTCAGTGTGCTTTCCTTCCAATGACCACACACAGCTTCGAATTGATCGAGTCTCTTTCTCCTGTCCAGGTGGCGTACAGGCTATTTGAGGACACCGGACTTTTGCAAATCTTTAAAATCCCTTTGAAGGAATTCATGAATTACTTTCACGCACTAGAAAACGGATACCGTGACATACCTTGTGAGTATTTTAACTTTAATATGAGGATGCCAGAATAGCAGGCGGAGTTTACGGAAGCTCACAATGAGTTGATATTTCTATCTTTGCACAGATCACAATCGAATACACGCCACAGATGTATTGCACGCAGTTTGGTACCTCACCACACAGCCAATCCCAGGACTACAGACTGTGATGAATGATCATGGCTCCATGAGTGATTCAGGTAAAATGTCACACCCTGGCACACCCTGTTCGTTTCGGCTTTTAGAAAAAAAAAGTCCCGTAGCCTAGCTCCCTCGCCTCACAAGAGAGAGGGTCTAGGTTCAATTCCCGGGCAGGGCGAAACCTTAGGCAAGTTTCCTTACTCCACACACACGCCTCTGTTTACCCAGCTGTAAGTAGGAACCCGGTTGTTAGTCGATTGGCGGTGGCTTTCCGGAGGTAATAATCACTTTTAAAAAAAAATAAAAAATTGGGGTCACTCAATCCATGAAGGGTTGTGGGACACCATGTGCCCAATTGGCTGCCGCGGTTCTCAAAATGTAAATTTACAAATGTAACTTGTTGTTGCTGTGGCCTGACCTGAACCATTGAGAAAAGCCTGTAATTTGCATTGACCAACATTACAATCCTCTTGGGTTTTCTAACAGTGAGTTCCCTCTTTTAGATTCAGACAGTGGGATCACTCACGGACACATGGGGTTCGCTATGTCAAAGACCTACAGTGTGACAGAGGATCGTTATGGCTGCGTTATCGCCAATATTCCTGCCTTGGAGCTGATGGCTCTGTATGTAGCTGCAGCCATGCATGATTATGATCATCCAGGGAGGACCAATGCCTTTCTAGTGGCAACGAGCGCCCCTCAGGTAAGTGCAAGTCCACTAGGAGCAGGGATGTGTTTTTCCATTTAGCTCCAGTTAAACCCTTAAGACATAAAGCCAATGGATAGGGTGGGCCTATCTGGGCAACCTGAGTAAGATATTGTTCATGATGACAAGCTGTGTGCCTTTAGCTGGTTAAACTCCAGTTGTATCCCCAATGTGCATCTCTGGGTACCAGGGTCCCAAGACTTGACTCTTGCCGACCCGCGCCTAATACTTTCTAAAATTCAGTGAGCAAAGCGATCCCTTCGGGGCAGTGTGTACACCATCCCGGACAGGTGAAGGTTTTCACGCACATGTGGAACTCTCAGTAGTTTGGTTTGGACACTGGTGATGGCTTTCCGTGTGTGTCAAACACACAGCTGACCAAACACAACTGTTTAACCGGGACTTTAGGCCACGTGTGTGAGGATAGACCCTCCTCAAGTTGCGAACATCCGGTTTGCATTTCTGTTGTTGGATGAATTCAATCCACGGGGTTTAGTGTTGTTGAACTCCGAATTATTCGATTGTTATTTTAAGAACATAAATCCTGGAGAGGGTGTTACGAAGGTCAATGAATGCAATGTAGAATTTAATGGTGATAATAAATGAGAAACACTTGAATCTATCAGAGGTTTTACGACATCTTGTGGCCCGTGAGATCATCAAGAAGAGCCCCTTCGAACATTCGCATGAGTCAGTGTTCGATGTTATAGTTTCGGACACGACATGTCAAGAGACTGCCAGGATGGTGGAAGGCAGATTGGATGGTCTTCTTATTCCAGCAAATTCTTACGTTCTTACGTTAGCGTGTTTCGAATAAGTGCGTTTTATGGCATAACTCAAGAAATATTCAATCAAGAGATCTTAGTTTGTTGGCCGGACCATAAAGGTTTAAACACGTAGATTTATCTTGTGCCAGAATACAGTGGCTTGGGACTGAGTAAAGTCCTGGAGTACAGTCACAGCTCTCTGCCTCCACCCTCAGACACACCCTCAAGTACAGACTCTCATATCCATTGTCTAAATAATTCTGCAAGTCAAGCCAAAACTACAAATACATTTGATTTGGCAGATAAGCTATGGAAGATACTTAACAGGGTTTTTTTTGAACAACGATCGAGCTCCTCGAGACAACCGGAGTTTACAAGCTGTTCTGATTCCACACTGCTACTCCCTGGCTCCTCAACTGATGGGGAACCAGGGATGCTGAGAGGATTGCAGCCCCAAACCTGCTTGCAACTGGGCATCTCAACCTGGGTTAGAAACAGTTTCAAGCTCTTCTCAAACCGATTGGATTAATGCCAGCGCATTCGGGTTTTATTCCATGCTCAAAATCCGCTAAATCGGGCTTTTAAAACATATGTTTGGACAAATACGGGGCTTTGAGACGTCTTGACGACGTAATATGCGGAGATTATTGTTGGTCAGTATTATTGTTAAGTGTGTGCCGACCTCACCAGCACCTAATTCAGCACAATATCACGTCGCTTAACAGGCTGTGCTGTACAATGACCGTTCCGTGCTGGAGAACCATCACGCCGCAGCAGCTTGGAACCTGTTCATGTCAAGGCCAGAGTACAACTTCCTGCTCCACCTGGACCACGTAGAATTCAAGCGATTTCGCTTTCTTGTGATTGAAGCCATACTGGCCACAGATCTCAAGAAACACTTTGACTTTCTTGCGGAATTCAATGCCAAGGTAAAGAGGTTATTCATTTATTATTTCCCTTCATGCCCTGACACGTCTCTACCTCTCCGACCCGCTTACTCCCCAACCCACTGCTTCCCCTCGCCTGACTCCGGCCTCCTGCTTGTCCCCCGTGCCCTCTGTTCCAACATTGGTGGCCGGACTTTCAGCCACTACGCCCCAAAACTCTCTAACACTCTCCCCCTATCCCTCCCTCTGTCTTGCTCCTTTCTTCCCCATCTTCAGGTCGCGCCTGAAAACCTTCCTCTTCGACCGTGCCTTAGACCGAGGGGGTCTACTCCCCCTCCCCCCGGCTCAGAGTCGTGCTCCGTCACTGTCAAGCGCTCTGGGACGCTGCCCTGCGTGAGGGGACGCTGTGTAAATACAAGTTGTTGTTGAAATTTTTGCTGTTTGATAATATTTCAATGGGATGCTTGTCCCAAAGATTCAGGCATAAGCATGTTTTGTGCTTTTAAGAAAAAGATACGTGTTTTTTCTCTGTAATTTTTTTTTCCAGATTTAAACTGAAGGAAGGAAGTAAACAATGGGGATTGAAGTAAACTGTTCAACTTTAGAATTGTAACGGGTTTGGTTGCTTTCATGAAAAGTAATTAAGAATGTGTAGGAATTGTAGAAAGGTAATAAATGGATCCTTCGTATCGACATTAATAACAAAACCATAGATGTGTATAAGAGTCACATTTCTATATTTTATCGTTTCACTCAACAGGAAAATTTTGACCCATTCAAATCTTGGATCAGTTTAGTTCAAAAACTCAGTTGAGTGTCATCACTGAAAGTTTACACCGCAGCTGCCACACAAACTAATGTGATTTGATTTTCATTTATTATTTACGAAAGAAACGGAGATGCAGTTTATTAATTTGGCTCCTTTAAGAAACAGTTGACGCTGCAATGGAGAGGTGGTAGGATTGGTATTCTGAAAGGATGAGGTTGAATGAGTTTGAGATCAAGTGCGTTGCCCTTCCCACAATCAAATAACCTGCTAACACTCACCGTCTGGGCTCACGCTTGAAGAATGAGCTTTGAATCTATATGCCAGGCAAGGCTGGACATATTCAACAGACAAGAGGAGAAAATTAGCAGGAAAACTTCACCTCTATTATAGATTTCTGCTAAAAAAATATCTCAGGATAGAATAGCTTGGGACACGACGTGTCAAGCGACGACCAGGATAACGGAAGGCGAACTAAAGTGGACCTCAGTCTTCTTCCAGCCTAGCAAATCCTTATGTTCGTATTTATTTCATTAGTTTGGACATGTTCAAACTGCTGCGAGTTGCCAGCAGGTCATTCATTGATGCGAAAAGCTCTGGGTGCTTCAGGTGCAGTACACTTTTCAGACAGAGCATGACGCTAGTGCACTATAAATGCTATCGGAGAGGACTATAAACAGTCCTCCAGTGACACACAATGGCTGATAGGTGGTATGGCATCATCAATCTGTTTCGTTCTCCTTTCAGTATTTCATTCTACATCATTTTGATGAACGAGATTCGATCCGATCTGAACGTCATTTTTTAATTTGCGGTTGTTCAAAAAAAAAGGCCAGCACAGGGATCGTCCCTTCTGTCTTATTGAAATGAGGTTTCCTCTTAGTGTTGATGTGACTTTTATTGGCTTCTCTTTCTTTATGGGATAGAGAACTTAGGTAGTTCAGGACATATGAGCAGGTGACCGCCAGGACAGTGGAAGGCGAACTAGATGGACCTGGTCTTTTCTTCGTCAAGCATTTCTTATGTTCTTATGTCCTCGGTATTGATAGACTTTGGGCCATTGACACTTTGGTGCTGATCGTAACTGCTCCGCTTTTGTAGGTGAATGAGGAAGTGGGATCGGGTATTGACTGGACAAATGAAAACGATCGCCTGCTGGTTTGCCAAATGTGTATTAAGCTCGCTGACATCAACGGGCCTGCCAAATGCAAGGAACTCCACTTAAAGTGGACTGAAGGCATTGTCAATGAGTTTTATGAACAGGTTAGTACCCATTCCATTCCAACAATCTATCTCTGGGATTTCTAGGTGAAGGTGGGCTGCATGGAACTCTCAGCTTGGTTTGGAGACTCTTAAGTAATGGTGATGGATTTCTGTACGTGTCAGACACCCGGCTGACCAAAAAAAGACGTGCGTCTGACACTGCTATAACATTGGCAATCATTTTGCATGTCTTGCATATAGTATCTTGCATGTATTATATAGAAAAGATTTTAGAATAGATATCAGAAGAGGACGGGCGCTGTGATAATTCTTTCACAGTGAAATTATGCTGGTAAAGTTGGTAAAGTTACCGACACAGGGGGAATTTGGTAACTTTACCAAAAGTTACCACAAGCCAATTCACTTTACGGTATACTCTGTGAAGCACTTTCAGACGTCTTGAAGACCGTGAGATAAGGTGCTATATCAAATGCAAGGATTATTATTATTATTATTACTTACCAATCAGCCAAAATAGGGATCTTGTGAATTTAGAAATGGTACCAAATAGGTTTGTTTCTGACCTCAAAGACGGATCGTGTCTTTCTGTGCAGGGTGACGAGGAATCAAGTCTTGGACTTCCTATTAGTCCTTTTATGGACCGTTCAGCTCCTCAGCTCGCAAAGCTTCAGGAATCTTTCATCACACATATTGTGGGGCCACTATGCCACTCCTATGACTCGGCTGGGTTGATACCAGGACAGTGGGTGGAAGAGAATGACGAAGAGGAGGAGGAGGAGGAGGAAGATGAAGAGGGAGAAACGACAGAAGAAGAAGGAATGGAAGCTTTGGAAACAACTACAAGTAGGTTATCCCTCTCCTTTCGAAGCACGTTCAGAAATGTGAGCATTCCAAACAGCAGGTCTAATTTGAAGACGTTCATCACTTTTATGACTCAGAAACAATACTTGAAATGATGTGCTTGATAACTTTGGTCATTGAATTTTAATTATGCAATATAATACTTATATTTATGTTCTAATGGGTTCTGGTTGTATTACGCAGTTCTTAATGGGACTAATTGCACAACAGAAAACTGTTATAATTCAAAGAAGTCATAAAGATTGCTGCTGTGGGAAAATAATAATAATAATTATTAATACTAATGATCATTGCATTTGAAATAGTGCAACCCTGCATCATGAAGGGCGCTATACAAATGCAAGTTGTTTTTGTTGGTGGTGATATTCGGGTGGGAGGGGTTTTCAGTGGGTAAATAAACCAAGTAAAGCAAAGGAAAACACAAGCCGTGATCTTAACCTCCGCGTTGCAAACACTAGGTTTTTAATCTCATTAAAGAGCATGAATGCTGTTGGCAAGCATGCTCATATCCTCTAAACAGCTTAAATAGACCTTGGTACCAGACTCGGTAAAAGGCTTTCATAAAATCAATGAACACTCTATGCAGCTCTTAGCCATTCTTTTCTAAATCTTTCCTATTACTTGATTCAGGATACAAATCTGTCCTGCTTTACTCTTTTGGTCTGAAACCTGCTTGATTTAAGAATAAAAACACATTCTTGAATCCATTCTTTTCAGCAGTTTCCCTTTTATCCACAGTCTTGCTCCCCCCTACCTCTCCGACCTCATATCAAGCTCTCCTCTCCCTTCGCTCAGCGGACACAGGCTGCTTCAGGTCCCCCGCTCCATTGGCAGTCGGGCATTCAGCATCTCTGCCCCCACACTCTGGAACTCTGTCCTGCAATCCCTCTGCCTCACCCCCTCTCTTGCCTCCTTCAAGTCCCATCTGAAGACCTTCCTCTTCGATCGTGCCTTCGGGCCACCCTCCCAACCCCACCCCCCCCTGTCCTTCTTCCCTTCTGACCACCAATTCCCAGCTTGGGTCCAAAACCCCCGATTGTCCAGCTCCCGAGGACATCTTTCCAATGTGAAGGGCGCTATACAAGTGTAGTTTGTTGTCGAATATTCTGTATAGACACTTATAATTTTGTCTCCTCTCATCTCCTGTACTGAAGACACTCACAATGGGGTGAAGTTTGGAAAGTCTCCCATTCTTTCCCTTCATGTATTATTCCTCACAACTTTTTTTTTGGTCAGCCGGTTGACTGCCACACGCAGAAGCCCATCACTGTTGCTTAAGAGCATCCAAACCAATAATAATAATAATAATCTTTGCATTTGATATAGCGCTTTTCACGTCTTCTCGACGTCCCAAAACGCTTCACAGAATATACTGTAAAGTGAATTGACTGTATATTTGTGGGCGAACGCGGCAGCCAATTGCGCACAGCAATGCTCCCACAAACAGCCGTAGATTGAAAATGACCAATTTATTATTGTTTTTTTGTTTTGGAGGGATTATTATTTGGCGTGTGGAGTAAGGAAACTTGCCCAAGGTTTCGCCCTGAGAATTCGCCTCCCACCTACACATGGAAATCCCAGAGAGAGATTGCTGGAATGGAATGCGCTCTCTCTCTCTCTCTCTCTCCTGAGCACCTAATTCCGGATAGTATTAGGCGCAGGTTGGCGAGGGCCAAGGCTTGGGGGGAGCCCAGAGTGTGCGTTGGGGTTGTGTTGCCATTGATATCTCTGTCTGATCAGCTTTCCCGCTGCTTGTGTAGTTTGTCCTCGTGACATAAACATGCGCATTCAGTTTACTCTTTTTATTTTTAAATCCTTTTCGATGCTTCCTTCCTGATATTATAATAATAAATAATAACAACCCTTGCATTTGATATGGTGCCTTATCACGTCGTTGAGACGTCTCAAAGCGCTTCACGGAATATATTGCAAAGTGGATTGACTGTGTACTTTGTGAGAGAAAATACTTAGAAGAAGAAGCAGATGACCTGTGTGCTGGTCTCTGTCAACGATAACACCTTTGCATTTACCGCAAGATTTATCAAAATACCCGATGAATGAAGACTGCGGACTGTGGTTGTAAATAAATAAATAACGATGTATCTTAAGGAACAAGCTAAGGTCAGCAGCCTGGTATTTGCACATTGAACAGCTATAATTGACAACCTACATTTATCCTGATGATATCGCAAGAAACTATAAATCCAAAACAAGCCCTAAATTAGCCTTTTGGTGTTAGGTTACACAATTGATCTCTAGGTTACAGGTTTATAAATCTACTTTAATGATTGACGTAGTTTTCCGTGTCAGCTTGTGGTCTGTTTCCACTTGAATCTTAATGAATTATGTTCTGAAGCCTCACTGTCTGTCACAAAATGAACTCTGTTATTGCTGAAACACATCATTTATTATTTCAGCTTGAACTGTAAGACATTGCTGTGCGCATTTGGCTGCCGCATTTCACCCACAAAAATATAGAGTCTGTTCACTTTACTGTGTATTCTGTGAAGGGCTTTGAGATCTTCTCGAAGGCGTGATGAGGCGCTATATCAACTTCAGGGATGATTATTATTATTATAACTGCTGTAGCCTGCTTTACTGTGTCACTCAGCATCTGTGTCGCATGCTGTACAGCACATGATGTTCAGCTCTCACAGATGGAAGCAAATATCTTAGGAAGAAATATCTTTGGAGTCCTGTAGCTCAGTGGTTAGAGCACTCGCTTTGCAAGCGAGAGACCTGAGTTCAATTCCAGGCAGAGGGCGAAACCTTGGGCAAGTTTCCTTACTCCACACAGAGCCTAATAATAATCCCTCCCAAACAAAACAATAATAAATTGGTCATTTTCAATCCACGACTGTTTGTGGGACATTGCTGTGCGCAATTGGCTGCCGCGTTCGCCCACAAATATACAGTCAATTCACTTTACAGTGTGTTCTGTGAAGCGCTTTGGGACGTCCTCCCGACGTGAAAAGCGCTATATCAAATGCGAGGATTAAAGAAAGCTTATATTTAAGTTCAACACACAAACTGATGTCAAACAGAATTGTGCACCCAATGCCCCTACACTGAATGCGATGCAATGAGTTTGTGTTCTAAGCACAATGGGATTAGTGGCAGGTCTGAATTTTATTTCCCCCCTCAGCCTCAAACACTGTTCAGGGACTGGAAGATTTGCTTATTGTTCAAGTAAATGATTGAATGTGCTGCCAACACATTTTTTTTTAAAAAACATAAATGCCTTCAGCCAATTGTAAGACCACCTGTGACTCCCTGGCGGGATTTCAAATAAACTCGTCGCAAACGCCAGGAAGAACCTTCACTCTCTGTACACAACAAACTGATTCTGTAAGTATTGTATTCTTAATTTAATGCAATGATGTCAACACCTCGTAGATCAAAAGTTATTATTTTTGTGTTTAGACCCTAAGACAGTCATCAACTGAACCCTCCCCAAATCAGCTGGTAACAATAATAATAATCCTGTATTGATACACTTCAAGGGTAATTGCTATCGAGTGTAGTGACTGTATTTGTTGGCAGATGTGGCAGCCATTTTTGTGCAGAGCTGCACAGCTGGAGTTTAAATTACACAGTACTGTCATGGTCTCCAATACCTTGGGGGGGGGTGGGGGGTGATATAATATTTATGGCAGTTTAGGCTGTTAAAACCTCAGTTAGCATTCTTGCATTATGTCCGTTTTACTCAATCATTCGATGATACCCAGCACCGTATTATGACAACTCAAAATGTTTTAAAATGAGGGAAGGTTCTGCAAATGCTTAAAAATTGGACTGACATTTCATGAAATATATAAGCACATATGTAATTTTGTTGTTCTTGTTGTAGGAAATATAAAATCTGTTGAAAACCATATTAGCTCCAATTGCCCAAAGGACCGAATATTGAGTTGAGTGTTGAGGACTGACTACACCTTTATTAGATGACCACATCGAAACCCTGAAACCCTGATCTCCTCTCAAAAGCAAAGCACGTCTGAAAAAACCCACTTTATTCCTCGGAGTGAGGAAGACAATAAGAATCCTCGTCACAATTATTTCATTAAACGTCGCCAAAAAAGTAAAGTGGCAACACTAATCACAATGCGTTCCTTCCATGTTGGATGTAGGTTTGAATACCTGCAAGTTAATTAAAGGCAACTGAGGCTAGCTTGTGGTGTCATAACCGCTCAATTCAATTACAGCCTTATCATTTATGCCAGCTACCGCATTTCCAGGCAATTATCTTCTAATAAGCTTGCAGTAACTGCGTCACAACTATCAGTTTCTCAGCAGTCAGATATACAATTACAATACAATTTGCATTCATATCGTGTCTTTCACTTCTCAAAGTGCTTCCCACAGCTGGCTGGATACCCGAGCGGGGGTGGTGGGGGCTGTTTACCCTGCAAGCCGAAACCCTAATGACTAGGTTGGCCCTAACTGGATAAGCTCGTAAGACAGCGATATCAATGGCAAGCTGTGCGTTTTTAGCTGGATAAACTCCAGCAGTTACCCCAACGCACACTCTGGGCTCCCCCACCCCCCCCCCACCCAAGCCTTGGCTCTCGCTCAACCCGCGCCTAATACTTTCCGGAATTAGGTAAGCAGGGGGGCGTCCCTCCAGAGACATAGAGAGAGAGAGAGAGAGAGAGAGAATTCCATTCCAGCAATCTCTCTCTGGGATTTCCATGTGTAGTTGGGGGGCATGGAGTTCTCAGCCATGTTTGGAGATTCTTAAGCAACGGCGATGGGTTTCCGCACCTGTCAGACTGGTGCAGATTTTTAAAGTGCCACTTTATAACCCGGGATCTGAATATCAGTGGATAATATTTTAAAGTGCTATCAGAGACCGAGCATTGATTTCAACAGTCTGGCCTGATCACAGGGCTCAGCTGATCATTGATGCTACGCTTTTATTCATGTCTCAGCCCCTCAGTCTGTTCTAAGTGTTTCGTAAAAAAAAAGACTGAGCTTTTGCACTTGCAGCAAATTTAACTGTCTTCCGTGGAATCTGTAAATTCAGGTCATTTATATACAATAAGAGCAAAACAAACCTCCACATGGATCCTTGAGGCTCTCCTACTTAACACATCCCCCATTTCAACCGCACTCATCTGACAACTCTCTGCTTCCTTTCCCTTCAGTCAGTTACGAACCTGTATCCATGTTTTCCTCTTATTATCCAAAGATCTAAAGGCCCCTTTGATTGTTATCGGTGTAAGTTTTCATTGCTTTCACACTGTATTGGTTATGTAATGGGAGAAGTCAGAATACAAAGAGGTCTTTACTAAAAATAGTTGGGTGATTTTTTTACCCAGAGAGTTGTTACAGTCTGGAATGCACTGCCTGAAAGGATGGTGGAAACAGATTTGTTAGTAGCTTTCAAAAGGGAAATGGATAGGAACTTAAAGAGGAAAAGTTAGCAGGGCTATGTATGGGGTAAGAGCGGGGGAGTGGGACTGGTTGGGTAGCTCTTCCAAAGAGCCGGCACAGGCACAATGGCACTTCTGTGCCGCAGTATTCTGTGATTTCGGTACAAAGACTGAAGTATGCTACAGGATAACTGTGCCCAACATGCAATACACGGTGTATTTTGGGATTTGAGATACCACAGTTTTATTTTAACAAAACATTTTGTTGGTGGCGTTACCTTTCGAAGTCAGCTGAAGCTTAGGAAAGATTTCAAAATCCTCGTCCTCACTTTCAAGTCCCTCCATGGCTTTGCCCTCTCCTACATCTCTGACCCTATCAACCTGTCCGCTCTCAGCGGGCTCTGGCCTGCTCCATCTCCTGCCTGACCCCCCCTACTATTGATGGCTGGGCTTTCAGCCTCTCTGCTCCCACCCTTTGGAACTCCATCCCACAATCCCTTCCCCTCGCTCCCGCTCTTGCCTCCTTCAAGGCACGACTCAAGACCCTCCTTTTTGACCGTGCCTCCAGCCGCTCTCCTACCACCTCTGCCCTCCGTCATCCCAACCCTGCCCCAAAGGCTCGGGTCCTGATCCCTGACTGTTCAAAACCTTGGGACGTCCTCCCTACGTGAAAGGCGCTTTACAAATCTAATGTTTTTATTGTTGTTGAAGCAAACATACTTGATGTGTAACAGAACTGTTTGCGTGACCTGGCCACAGTTTGCGTGACCTGGCAATAGGTTGCGTGTTCTTTCTTTGTTGGGAGGTCAGCAAGGCCTTAATATTTCCCAGGTTACAATTGTACGTTGTCTCAAGGACACTTCATATTTGCTGTCTCCTCTTGATCTGATCTGGATCGGTTGTAAAGGAATTCTAAACTACATACAAACAGGAAGACACATTGATTAAAAAATTGATTTTTTGATCAAAATTACAGTACAGTAATTTGATAACTCAATCCACAGCTGTTTGCGGGGCACTGCTGCGTGGAATTGGCTGCCACATTTCTCCCACAAAATACCCAGTCAATCCACTTTACAACAGTGAATTGACTGTCTATATTTTGTGGGCGAAACGCAGCAGTCAATTGCGCACAATAGTGTCCCACAAACATTGAGTGACCAAATTATTATTATTTTTTGTTTTTTTGAAGCCATTATTACCCCTGAAAAAGCGATCCACCGATCGAATAACAAAACAGGTTCCTACTTACTACTAGGTAAACAGAGGCGTGTATGTGTGCTGAGTAAGGAAACTTGCCTAAGGGTTTGCCCTGCCTGGGAATCGAACCCAGGTCCTCTCACTTGTCAGGTGAGTCCTCTAACCACTGAGTTATAGGATTCCACAAATAGCAGGAATATCGGGAAAGAAGGTTTAATTTACAAAGAATGCAAAGTAATCATTTCTTCACATGTTACGAGCCCTCGAAATCTTGTTGTGGTAATTGAATGGAATATAAGTTACAGCCCAGAGTTTTTGGGAAATACTAAAATACTTCATGTAATGCTTAATTTCTTGCCTGACCAACAGAGAGAGAACACTGCAGGAAACGAAGGAAAATCTTCTGTCAAATTACTCAACACCTAATGGGTAACCATGAAATGTGGAAGAAAGTCATTGAGGAGGAAAGGAAAGCAGAACTCGAGGAACAAGAGCAGTCTTCAGTTCATCAAAGCTCCGAGACAATACAGGCCATCACCGAGGAGGAGGAGGACAAAGATGAAAAGAGTAATGACAATTCAGAAGAGAAGTCCTCGCAAACACAAATCAATTCAGAGCTAAACACAACCGACAAAAAGTTAGAAGGTGATGATAAAAATGACTGAATTGTGCGTAGACTTTTGTCCCAGCACAATCCTTTGACAGACACAACACTGTAGATTTATAGGACAGTCTGCCTACAGCTGTAGTGGTTTGAATTTGCCCCCCCACAAAAAAAAAGGCGGAGGAACAGGACTGAATGAATCTTCTGTACTGCAGCACTGGCTTCTATAGACTTTTAACACTTAAATGGTTTACCGATAGGATCGCGGTGCATTTCAGTAACTTGTCTGTTTTGTACTGCTTTTTATATACATATATATATAATATATATGTAAAAAAAAACAACACTTGCTCAGCTACCACAGGTGGGTGTCAATGAAAGAGAATCTGCTTCTTTCTGAAGGGTATGGTATAGAAAATGCTGAGGTACTGTAAGACTTTTTTTGCTTTTACTCTACGTGGGGTGAAAGATGAAAGCAGAAAACTGATATAGCCTGCCAATATTTTTTGTGTACATAACCTTACGGCTCACCAGCTTTGTTTAAGCAATCTCTAGTCTAGCTGTAGTACTTGGATATTGAAAAAAATGAACAAAAGGTTTAGGAAAAAAATGTCAGCCACAACAATAGGTCATTTCACTTTATAAATGATCCACGCTACGAACCAAACGCCTAGTCAAACGATTTATATACCCATTTGGAAGATTTAATTCTTGATTCACATCCAATGCCAATTCTTTCCAGATGATAATTTACTGTAGATAACACAGAGAATGTTTTCTATTTGGGTTTTTGTAAATATCAGGATCTCAAAACAAATTTTGTGCTTTTATAAAGATGGTGATGACAACCTCAAATTTGACAGACCGTTCTTTACTATGTACGCGGTTTAGTACCTGCAGTTGGGGGTTCAAACGTAATTTTAACAGGTGATCATGATTTGAACTCTATGTGCACCGAGAGTTAACCCTGTACACACATTTTACTACTGATGGTACTGATAGTAGTTTGTAATCCCAGACTGTCTGAGGCCACTTTAACCACCATTGCTACAATGAGTGGCTGTAAGGTTCCTTTGGTGAATTGTGTCATATTTCCTTTTAAGATGTGAGTCACTGTGTGACCATAAGGTGTTGGACAGTCTATTAGACATCAATATTTTATATCGGTAAGACTTTGGCTTTGGCTAATTCTACACCAGGTGCCACTTGTGTGAAGATGAATCAGATTGATTTGGGTGCCCCTTTTTACATTCTTAACATTTCGTATAATTTCATATCCTTCATTGCATTTTACAGTTTGTGGATTGCTTGAGGCCAAAAAAAAGGAGAATGATAAAAATGCAAATGAGATTTAATGAACCTAAAACTAGTCGGGTGACAATGTTTCAGACACGTGTAGAATTGTGCTTTTAAACTCTTTACATAATGACTCCACGAGGAACAACGGGGGTAGAAATTCCACTGTGACTTAGATTTAAAAAGCATTTCAATCCATGACTGTTTGTGGGACGCTGCTGTGCGCATTTGGCTGCCACGTTTCGCCCACAAGATGTACAGTCAATTCACTTTACAGTATATTCTGTGAAGCGCTTTGAGACGTCTGAACGATGTGATAAGGCGCTGTATCAAATGCAAGGATTATTATTATTATTATTTCAGAGAACCCAGTATTTGGCAAATTCGTAAATGCAACCATAATTTTGAAGATAGGGTTTCTTGAAAGTTTAAGTACTTTAAGAACTACAGAAAATCTGTTTCAAGGTTTAAGACTGAACTCAACAATTTGCCAAATTAATATGATCTTGAACAATAAGTAAATAGAGTAATTCTGTGAAGCGCTTTGAGACGTCCCAATGATGTGATAGGGCACTATATCAAATGCAGGGATTATTATTATTATAAATCTAGCCTGACTTGGAATTTCTCCCCCAATGGTGGGGTGGGGGGGAACTGAAATTAACATTCATCTGTACAATTACTGACAAGATGGGTCAGGTAAATTCTCCATTGACTGGCAAATTGATCGAGTTCAGAATCAACTCCGCAGTAGGCCAATTACATTTTAAAGGGAAACTAGCCCTTTTACCGAAATGTACAGGCTGCATTTCATAGCCAACTTTATTAAGGGTTTGCTTTCGTCTTAACCCGCGTGGACAAGAAAAGTGCAAGACTTTTAGCAACGGCAGTATCAGGGTGGTTTGACATTGATTGATTCTTTTGTTTAAAAAGAATTTCTTTGATCGTACAAAATGATAGGATGACAAAAATATCTTTCCTAGACATAGAGCAATTTGGAGTGGAGGACAGATGTGTTTTTATTGCTCTCAAATGCCTCTGCACAACCAAGTGAATGTGCCATGAACTGGTGTTAATGTTTTAGGCTGTTAGTTTTTTCTTAAAATGTTATGAAATAGTCAGGTATGAAACTGGTTCTTTAATAACATCACACGATGGTGTCCTACAAGTTCTTGAGAGATCCATTGAATTGCACAAGAACGTTTAAGTGACTGTAGCTGAGCACAGCTTGAATCGATTCGCACCAACTACATTTGTGCTGGAGTGGTGTGAATTGATGTGAGGTTGACAAATTATTTCAAGCACCAGCCACCCACAAATATACAGTCAATTCACTCTACAGTATATTTCTGTGAAGCGCTTTGAGACGCCTCGAAGACATGATAAGGCGCTGTATCAAATGCGAGGATTATTAATATTATTATAATCTAGTGATATTAATATGCCTGTAAATGCACAAATATGTTTATTTAGGATTCAGCATAGCATGGACAACTTTAACTTTTATTTCAACTGAAAATGATTTACAAATTGCCCCAAATCCCTCAATAACACTCGGTTTCTCATTTGTTGGTGCTTGTATGCAGTGACAAATTAAACTGTAAAGCAATTCTGGATTTTCAGTATTCAAATGCACATGTACTTACCGAGGGTCAAAAAATGCTTCTGCAATCTTGAGAGAGTCAGTATCACAAAAAAACCTGATTGATACCTTGGTAGTATTCCCAAGCCCGTTTGATCAGTCAAGGCATATCACAAAGGGTCCTGTCTCTGGTTGAGTCAAATATAAATCGATGATAGATATGCATAGATTTTTAAGAGGTCAGAGTATCAAGGGATATGTGGCAAAGGAGGGTGTGTGGAGTTGAGGTACAGATCAGCCGTGATGCAAACAGAATGGCGGAACAGGCTCGAGGGGCTGAATGGCCTTCTCCTGTTCCTGCCACAGGATCGTTGTGCAAAGCCTTAAAATCAGAACCAAGACGTTTAAAACCTGAGGTCGGAAAGCAATTCTTCAAACAAAGGGTTAGGAGGATAGAGATTTCTATCCCCCATAAAGCAGTAGTGGTGAAATCAATAGGGATGTTAGAAAGAGAGAGATTGATAGGTATTGGCACCAAGTATTGGTACTAAGGATTACACCAAAAGGGCAGGGCATTGGGTTTAAAAGGTCTGCCAAGATCTAATGAACTGGTGGAACAGGCTCGAATGGCCTCCTCCTGTTCCTGTTTTCCTCTGTCCCAGTATGAAGTTTCTTGTAACAAGTAGCATTTTCTTGTATTTTTATATATATATAAAAAAAGGAATGAAAATCCACGTTACTCAGGGTGCAGCAGGCAGGAAAGTCTTTAGAAGTCAGAGTCGAATAGTCCTTTAAAAATAATGATTAATTTGCTGTTCAGAGATAAGAACCGGTGTAATGACCTCTTTTCACAATACTGTACCCATTGATATTGGAATTTTGTTGATTGAGCTGGTCTAATGGTACAAACTGCTGGATTTGTTCTGTTGAAAAAGACTTAATGGTATTGATCTTCCACAGTAGACTCAACTCAGGTTTCTTTTTAATGAAAGCTAATTATTGACTTGCCTCAGACTGCCCATTTAAAAGGATCAGTAAGTTTATTACTGAACATTGCCAAGCTGATGTATTTGTTCCAAGAAAAAGTTAATGGGGGGACGAATAAAACTAGACAATTCTAACTATTGCGAAGTTGATTCCAGTATGGTGTGCTGCGTCATAAAATCCAATGGTTTTCGATCTGAGAGCTCTGAACCGAAATCCCGAGTGTGAAATCTTCTCCTCGTTGCAATAAAAAAAATCTTCCTAAGAGTTTACTTCAGTAAATTGTGAATTTTCAACTGAGCAAATCATTGCTGTAGCGTTTTATCCAATTCAATGAAGGATTCTGTAAACAAATAAATCGAGAAATTCACAATTTTCAACTGCATGTCAAAATATTTGTGAGCCTTAACGTAATGACAAGACTATTATACTGTAGACCTGCAGAGTTAGTAGGGGAACGGCACAGTTAACGTTAACAAGCACTTCACGGGTTAATAATGTTCACCTTATGTGGCGGTTGGGGATAATCAGCAGAACCTGAAAAGACACTGGAGAGAGTTGAAGAGAGCATTTTAATTCTAGAATCTGTAGTTTTAGTGAAGGCAATGGCATTCCATACATTCCAGTTTTTTTTAATTAGGTGAGTTAAATGTAAAAAATTCACGATAAGGCAAAATGCACAGTATTTATATTCACTAAGAAGGCTTTCTACGTTTTTATAAACAATGTAAGAGGATTTGGGTAGGATAAAGATAGATGCAGTATAATTAGCTGTAGATAGACATTTATTATAGACCATTAAGAATTATAGCAGCACATTCCATACCTTCACTTATCAACTGTGTTTATTTCATGTGCATCTGTGATATTGTGAGTTTCTTTTTTGGGGTATTTTTGAGGATACCATAAACTGTAATGTGTAAATTCTATTTTGTTCTTGTGTAAAGTATAGCATTCATGATGTTAAAATCATTGAGAATAAACAGTCCATTATGTTCAAACATGGATTTCGTTAAAGTAAGGAAAGCATGGCAATGATGCACATTCACAATTATTATTCCAAAATGTAAATGAAAATCACAAAAAGCAACACAAACACTGCTTGACAAATGAAGCAATTCTTGTGCATTTAAACTTTTATTTCTTGAAGCAATTTGTTCATCAATTTGTTCGGAAACATCCGTGATCTGCATTTGTTCTTAGGTGCTTGTTCCCATCATCACCAGATGCAATAGCACGAGACAATATTATTTTGACTTCTTTTACATTTGATCAACTCTGCTCTACTTGACAGGTGGCCCCAAGCAACTTCGAGTTCTACTTAAATGAAGATTGCGGTGTTAAAGTCTAATAATAGTAATTATTATTATGGTAAAAATGGATCGATCTGTTTCTGTTGTCTGGCTTCACTACCATTCGTAATAAAATGTACCTTTAAGAGCAAAACCAACAGATAAGATTGTTCAAAATTGTTCGAAATACTGCAGATGCTGGAAATCTGAAATAAAAAACAGAAGTCGCTGGGAACACTCAGCAGGTCAGGCAGCGTCTATGGAGAGAGGAAAGTGAGTTAACATTTCAGATCCATGACCTTTTGTTAGAACTGTCATCAACTTGAAATGTTAACTCACTTTCCTCTCTCCATAGATGCTTCCAGATTAGATTATTCACCTGGATAGGATCTGTATATAAACATTTAATTCCCTCACATCCACTATACTGTCTTGCATTTACTGATGTTGTATTTGTAAACATGTTCTTTTGTTGGCCATTAACAGAGCGATCACTCTTTTTCCATGTTGTAGATCAGTTTTACCCGCAGTGCAACTCAAGAACAAGACTTGCATTTTTATGGATGTCAGAGAGTTGATTGGCAATATATTTTTCTCTCATCACAAACACCTTGCACTTAACACGTGTAGCAATACCTAACGTCTCATTCACAAGTGTTTGTTAAGTGAAAAAATTCAATTTATGCTATTAAATGTTCTGTTTTGTACAATATACTATGTACAGGATAATTCTTTCAGATAGATGTTATTTATTTTTACTGTTTTGTAAGTTAGACACTATACTGTAGATCCTATTGCCAGAATTACTGTAAAGTGCCTCTTGGTAAAATGTATATTACAGTATATATATATTCAAAATATTAGAAGCATTGTCACAAACTGAAAAAATGTAGCTGTTGTAATGTGACGACAGTTGTACAACATGATTTTAATTCTGTGGTATCACGAGTCATTTATTTGTCTCCACATGTAACCATTTGCTTTTTACCAGTTCCTTTTCAGTAATTTCCAATTCATCTTCATTTGCTCTCTCCTCTTTTTCCCTCTCTCTCTCTCTCTCTCTCTCTCGTATCCTAATTTCATATCTTGCATTGGTAATGCCTGTCAAAGTAGTTGCCTACCCCTTTAAGAGTGCGACAGAACATTTGATCGCGTGGAGTCCTGGAGCTCAGGGGTTAGAGCCCTGCGTCTCGCAAGTGACCCGGGTTCAATTCCCGGGCAGGGCGAAACGTCAGGCAAGTTTCCTTACTCCCCGCGCCTCTGTTTACCAGCAGTAAATAGGAACCCGGTTGTTGGTATATTGGTGGATCGCTTTTCTGGGGTTAATAATCCCTTTTAAAAAAAAAACTTCCAAAAAAAAA